CAAAGATGGCAGTCTTAAAGCTAATTAAAGACTTGGGATGTATGGTTGGTCTCAGTGGTATTTGTACCGCCCCTCCTCCATTGTGACTGGTCGGCTGTGTTAAAAGTGACTGAGCGTAGCATTTCACCCAAATTCAAAACAATTTGATCCTTGGTGACCAGAAAAAACACTGAATGTGCAGCGCTCAGCGCAGAACAGACGCGTAGCCCATTGCCAAGAATTCAACAAAGGAAAAATGTGCAACTATTTTTTTTTTTGCCGGTTGCTTGACATCCTCTGCAGTTGGCTTGTCAAAAGCGCAGGATTGCAATGTTACGGTTATTGCAACAGCCCGAATGGAAGCCAATTCAAATGGGCTAAAATGCAAGTTACGGGATCTCTGTCATTTGTTCTGGTTTGGAGTTAGTCCTTTCAGTTGGATATGTGCTGTTGGGACAAGTAAACAAAGATTTACAGTAGTCAAAACTGTATCAGCCATTCATTTAGCGATCAGTGCCTCTCTATCTGAAAGCTGCTGGGTGAGATTTCTGCTAGGCCTCCAAAATCCTTCATCCAAAAATGGCCTAAACAGAGCCTTGCAGGTATCAGAGGCACATTTGTTGTCATAGGTGCACATTGATTTGTCAGCATTTGTCCTATAAAGTCATTTTTGCCCTCAAATGAATATTTTTCTGCACTCCAGAGGCAGGAAGTGTGTGTGCTCTACAGGCAGCTGGGCACCTATTTAATGCAGTTATCTGATACCTGAGATTTAGTTTACCAGGACTTCAGTACTTTTGTGGAGGCCCTCCATGTCATTTGTTGGAGCCCCCCCCCCTATAGTCTTCTATTTTGAGACAAAGCAGAGACGGTGACTTTGAAAAGACGTCAGCAATTGTCTGTGTTTGTTGATTAGCTCAAGGCTCAACATTTGACGGGCACATTCTTAAAAGCCACTCGTGGTGCAACGGACCGGTTCGGATCGGATCATGGATAAGACCACAGATCGGATCATATAAATATAGTTTTTAAAGATCCCTGATCACATTTATTTTGCCGCTGATACTAATTGCCGATTATTGATGATCCATATTGGATACTGATCCCTTTTGTTGTTTGATTATACAGCTGGTCTACAAAGCTCCGGACTGTTTTTCTTTTTTTGCCACCGTCCCAAAAAATGATTTCAAACGCTCTGAAGTTGGTAAACCATCAAATATTCTTAATGTTATCCTTTGACTTTATTATAGTAATTCATAGTGTTTCTTCATAAAAACACCCAATTCAAATAAGGAAATAAAAGATTGTATTTTTATGGATTAAAATAAATCTTGTCATTAGTAGTATTAATGATGTATAATAATGTGCTTAAAGCTCGTGTTAGGAAGTTAAACAGATCATAATTCATCTCTAATATCCATTTATGTTGTTGTGAAAACGTCTCCTTCAAACAACCGGATTTATTCAAGTTCAACACTACATTATACAAGATTACATGTGAACACATCACCTTATGATTTACCTTCGCCCAAAACTCGTTTTCCCAGAGCCTGAAGGCATCATAATGTAAGTGAAGTGAACCTTCGTTACCGGTCCTTACTAGCTCTCCTCCTGTTGATTTGAACACGGATTGGTTGTTTACAATGTAATGCTATCAGAAATCTGCAAACAGAAAAGCATAATGCTGATGTCCTGATCGCATATTTTACTGAATATTGGCGGATAACGGGCGTCAGTAAAACTTTATTTCACACTGTGATGGTTAACGTTAAACTGTGTAAGCGTTGTCGATTCTTCTTTGGCTGGTCCCTGTTGGTTCCTAAACATGGGACAGTACGGTGGCTAGTGGGACTCTTGTTTACTTCATAGCGTACCTTTCTGGTGTGGTGGTGTTAGCTATTGCTGCTGTGTGAGCACGACGAGTGATGATTGCAGACGTAATCCACAGACCGGGTGGGCCGGATCATAAAAACAAACAAAGGCTGGAGGACGTGGCAAGCGCGGCGTTCAGTTTGTGTGCTTTAGACTCTAAAGTTTAGAGTGCTGTGTTGTTCCACACTGGAACATTAAGATGAGAAACAAAGGTTGTGACACAGGAATACACATAAAAAGCTCAGTTGCAATCTTCCTGTGCACATTCCACTCTCCTGGTTCATTTTCATATAGAAATGTCCTAGGATCCTGACATACAAGTGTGTTTGGGTTGGTCCAAACACACTTGCAGCACACATTTACTGTGAGAGGACATCTTTGAGTCCTCACCTCGATTACAAACATTTCGTCTTACTGTCTCAGATGTGCTCAATGAATGCGTCCTTTTAGTTGCCTGCTGTGTGGACTGGTGCAGTGGACCAGCCACAGCGTTGTCTCAAGAGTTTTGGACTGTAAAACTAAATAACCAATTTTAAAACCCATAAAACATATTGATCCCGGCACTGATTAATCTGATTGTCTTTCAATTTCTACAAACCTTGGGGCCATGACTCTTTCCTGGAATACATCCCAGTCCATCACGAGAACCTCCTCGTTCCATTTTAGGAAAGACGTTACTTAAGAGCGGATTTGCTCATGAATCTGCTCTCCAGGTTTTCAACCAGCAGGGCGACATTATTCATTCACTTGAAAGGAAGGTCTAGAACTTTTACAATTAAATATGAATAAACATACATTAATTACATCTATCATTCAGACATCAATAATAACTGTAATGTCAATGTTATAAATGTAACTTTGAGCTACTCTGTACAGCCCAAGTTATGATTAGTTTGCATTAGTTGAGTGGCCTTCCTGGTGTTGCACCATGTGTCTGCAGACATTTCTTTGTTAATCGGCCTTGTGACCGCAGGCAATGGCATTGATCGGCCTGATTAATCGCTCAGACGATTCTACGGCCTATCAATACTCCAGGATGTGATTTACACCAACATCTCTATCAAACAATCTCAGCTGTGGCTCGGCCCTCTTATTACACATTTCATTAGACTTGGCGCCTAGAAAACATGCGCTATTCAATACCTTTGGCATGTCAACGACCACCTACTCATAGAACGGAGACATATTTGTTTTTCCTAAGGGAAGTCTAGCAGACTTTAGTTACCTTTCCTTATTCGTAGCTCTTCTACTCTGACTGTTGAAGTCACTGAAACAGACCACCACAGTGGAATTTCAGCATGCGTTCCCTTCAGTCAGAGCAGCTAGTATTGATGGAGAGAGCAACAAGCCATCTGCCAAGGTGTCCCTTTGCTCTGCACCGCCCACAGGAAGTGCGTGTGTAAGCGCCGCCCTCTGTGAATCACAAGCAATCCTGCGTGGATGCAGAATCGTTAACGTCCGCCTCGCGATGCATCTTAGTATCGGGGAAATTTCCACACCTTTTGGAACACGCCCGGAATGACGAGCCGTGCACTTGATGCAACATTTCGCTGTACCCTTATCTCCCGATCGGGCTGCATGAAAGACACATTGTTCAACACTGCCACTCCCTCTTTCGTCTTCGTCCTGACACATAAGATTACCCCTTCACCAACTGCTCAGTAGTGTAAACCAATCCATGGTAATTGACAAAGGACAGGGAGATAGTTTAATTCATTCACAGATTTGTTTGGCGCACATCTGTTTTCTTATTAAAAACTCCTGTTTTTTCTGTGGGCCAGACGCTTTCATGATGACTCTTTGAACTCCAAGCAGTTTTGGGGTATTTATTTGCTCCTGGCACTGTGTTCAGCAGCCTGCAGTTCAAAGTTTCACGGAATTTTTGTCACGTGACTGTTGATGAATCAGTCATGTCTTAGGCAGAATATGCTTTTCACAGCATCTGGTTAAAGCAAACGGTTTATTCGGGGCGAAGTTTTAAATGAGATGTTTTTTGACGAAATAGCACAATTTGTAAGCTTTGCTTTGGTTGTTTTTTATGATTTAAGCATTTGTCACAGATGTGTTCAAGGACTGTCAGAAAGATGAAAATCTGACGTTTTTTTACAGCATCCGGCTATGATAAACAGTTTAGATTTTTTGTTCAGAGGACCAGCTCACCAAAATGACAAAACCTTTGCTTTTTAGCCGTGCAGGTAGCTTTATATATCCAGGCTTTTAAATACCTCTCTCTGAGATTTATGCATCCATCCCAACACAATGGAGGCATTGCAAACATCTCATGTAAATAACTCACCCAAATGGGTCTTGAAAGAATCGACCCGTTCTGTCTTAAGCACTGCTCATTGTCTGTTGTGTGGATGATCCAGAGTGATGGAGGTACTGATTTGTTGCTGTTAAGATTGTTTCGTGCACCACAAACTGAACTCCTTCGTTGTGCTGGAGTGGAAGTAGGTAGCTGGATACTGCTAGAGGTAATACATTTTTTTGTTTTAATACTTCAGCAATACTTTCCTCCGTCTCTAAATGCAGCATAGTAAAGCCACTGCTGGAAACAAAGCCCTTTCATTACTGTACATTTCCTCAAAGACACCGCATCAGTGCAGGAAGTCAGATCAAGTCAAGGGACCGATAGCTGCATTAGATGTCGTGTATTTGTAAATTACATTACATCGGAAATGTAAGGAGGCTAACAACAAGCTTTTGGTACATTGGATTTCAATTTGGAACTCAATTTGGGATTTCAAATTGGATTGGCACCGGGCTCGACATTCAGCGAGGGATGGCATGAAATGAGTACACGCACCGATCCGGATATCCGTACTGCCTGGAATAGCTGGGTAGGGTATCGAACACCATCATTTGAATAAAGAACAGTTCAATAGATGTGATTGTTACATTTAGTTTTACAAAGTTAGGAAAGTATTTTTAGGTGAAGCATGATGTTTTACACATGAACGAATGATCCCAGTCGCTTCCACAGTGAGGCGTGCGGTGTGTATTTGTTAAACTCCGGGATCGGATCGGTTCAGTCCAGGACTCGGGTCTACAAAAATCTGATAGGTGCATCCCCAAATGGAGCATGTCCATTACCAAATAATTCTGCAGCAGATCAACACGTGGCAAACAGACAAAGTAGAACAAAAGCATTGAGTTGTCCTCTCACTTTATTTAATAACCTAGACCCCCACCACCATCTCAAATTGTACAAAAATCAGCCACTCAGCAGAATGAGGTGGACTACAGGATGTTCCCTCATTCAAAGATGTACCTACGACAGTTAATTGAATATGTCCTACATGTTTAACACTGACATGGCTCTGTTGGTTAAAACGTGAAAAAGCATCGGACATGGCTTACAAGTGACAGCACACATAATTGATGATAGAGACAAAATAACGCACCGTGAATTCAAAGCATACTGGGAGTGGTAAACAAGATCTACAGCATTTGCAGTGCATATAAAGATAATAAATAACACTGGATACAAGTACGCGGTAGATATATGTACATAGAATTTCAGGGCTGAAAAAGGTGGATGCATAGCAAGGCTCCTCGTTACCACCACAGGGCTGCCGACGCCCAGTAATCCGCCTTCTCTCCCGTCGTTCCACTGAGCGGAACATAGTTTTATTGCGCTGTGAAGTAACTAAACAGGATGGTGACGACATTAACGTTATCCCCCCGAGGAAGAATAGTTGACCTGCCTCACAGCTACAATTCCATACAATCACATATCCGGCCACGGCTTGAGCTCATGACTATCGGGGGCTCGTACGCTGTAAACTACTTGTGCAGCCAGAAAAGCACTTTTTTGACAGTGAGCTATTGGCCTTTTCATGTGCTCTAAATCAGAGCATTGTTATGGGATTTTATGGTTTAGAGGAAAGAACGGGAGAGATTTGAGCATTTCTGATTCCAAAGTTTTTAATTTGTGTACAGTCTCAGACCTCCACAGAGAGACGCAGAGTATTTTTGATTCGGAGGGATCACGAGTGTCAATGCTGAAGAAAGTGAACACAAAGGCTACTACAAACACTTGAAGACATCGCAGTGTTATTTTCGTGCCAGTAAGCTAAAACAACAACATCGCCGTGGAGCCGGATGAATGTGGAGATCTGTTTTCTGCAAATTTGCTATGAAAAGCCCCCCTCGTAAATTGGAAGGAACATTAAAACGAGGAACACATGATGAAGATGATCGTGCGTCACAGGAGCGATGTGTGTATGGGCTATTTTACCAACATAAACAGGGAAAAAAGATTCATGTTTCAATGTGTCTGAAGGGATGGGAGACAGCCGGGGGGGGTAAATCGTCTTTAGATGGGCTCCCAATGAAAATTTTGAGGTGAAGGCAGAGGCTGATGATGGAGTGGCAGGAAACGGCGAGTGAGATCAATAAAGATTAGAAGAAGCAATGGAACAGAAGCCCGGCGCTGATGTAGTGTGGAGGGTTATTTTGAGGCCCGGAATATGCAGATATCCTCCTGCCTTGAGGAAATCTGAGGAACATGTCATTTCCTTTAATTGTCCCTGATACAATCGATCTGTTTTTAAAAACAATAACACACACGAGTGAAAAAAAAAAAATAAATCCAGTGATAAACAATGACTACACATAGAAAAGCAAACATTTGTATTGCAGATCTACGACATGGGGAATCCCACACACACTGGCATCTACAACGGCCGTAAGCTTTAAATAGATAATCCCAAATTGGCTTTGTGCTTATTGTTACATGGGTTTTCGTGTGCAGATCAGCATTTTCCCTTCTTTACATGATTAGTGTTAAATCAACGGGGCCACGCCGAGCAGCCTGCAAACAAGTGAATAAATCAAAAGAACGAAATGACTGAAATAGATTTTGAGTACACATTTCGAAGGGGAGAATGCAGTCTTATCCTGGAGCATTAAAGGGCTCTATAAAAGTAGTCCAGCTGTAAATTACCACAATGTCAATCACCACTTAATATGCGCTCAATCTCCTCTAGTCTCCTCAAGGCGGCGGCCCTTTTTCTCTCTATATCTTTAATCTCTTCAGTGGACTTACCCGTAGTCCGCTCGTCAGACTGGCTACTGTCCAAAGACTCTGATTGGTCCACGCCCACGCCTCCGAGGCTTTCTGCAGAGGATTTCCGCACATTCTTCTCCTCCCCATTCCCCTTTCCCACAGCATCAGCACCCCTCCCTTCCTCCTCGACCTCCGCTGCCTCCTCCGGCCCCTCCTCGTCTCTCCCCGGCTTTTCCTCCTCAGCCGATATGGCGGCTCCCCCTCCTGAAGTAAGCGGTTGCCCTGCCGCGCTCATGGCGGCCATTTTGCTTCGCACAATACTCAAGTGGCGACGCACGTACTCCTCGTGTGGCGCCATGGCCAGCGTTTCCTCCAGGCAGTGCGCGGCACGCGGCAGGTCGCGCTCCTCAAAGTAGACCACGCACAAGTTGTGCTTGCCTTGCACATTGGTGGGGTCCATGCGCACAATGCGCTCGAAGCAGGCTTTGGCGCCGCGCGTGTCCTTCTTGTGGTTCATGAGGATGTCCCCCTTCAGGATCAGGCCCTTGATGTGCTCCGGGTGGTGACGCAGCAGCTCGTCCAGCGCCGGCAGCGCATCGATCTCGCGTTTGGACTGGGAGTAGAGCAGCGCCAGGTTGAACAGGGCGCTGCGGAAGCCCGCCTGCAGACCGATGGCTTTACGCATCCACCACTCAGCCGCCGCGTTCTCGTTGGCATCCATGGCCAGCATGCCGAGGTTGAAGTAGCCGTTGGCGTCTTCGGGCTCCTCCTCCACGTAGGTCAAGAAGCGACGGTTGGCCTCAGGCCAGAACTTTGGCTCACCTGCCACAGAAAGCAAAGACATAATATAAAGTCATTTATTTGTATATTCCACCTCTAATATTGAATTACAGGTATTTAAAGTCTGGATTAAGGTTATTTGTTATGACTCAACTGTTAGAATTAAGGTCAAAGTTTGAGCTCTGACGACAAATAAAAATAAATTCAAAACAGGGGGATAAAGAAGTGTGATTTTTTTTTTTTTTTTTTTTTTTTTTGATAAAAGATGCAATGAAATAAGTAAAATACTGTATTCACACGTTACACACACAGCTGCATCTCACGGTGTCTGTTAAATAGCAGCTCTGCGGCTGAATTCAAAGACCTAGAGTTGAGGTTTAGGTGTTTTCTATCGATGCATGTATCTGTCCCGCCTGTTGTTGAGAAATTTAAGCTTCTCCAAAAGCAGGCCAACTTCATGCGATTGAGATAAGTGAACACATGTGGAAGTGGAAGTAGGAATGTGAGGAATGAGAAGAAAATATGTGGCATCTTTAGTGGTCTGCCCACCTCAACACCTGTATTCCCCTGCTGGAAATCAAAAGCTAAGAAACAGATGAGGACACGCACAACCCAGCTCAGACAACAACTCATTTGTAGGAGCGCGTGTAGTGTCCTGCAGCAGTTCATTGTCCAGTGACCCTGTGTTGAACTTTAATCTGAGGGAAAGTGAGGTATTAGCAACGGACTACACACATAAAGCTACTGGAGAATGCTGTATCGCATGTATATGATGTTTAGGTTACGTTACAGAAGAATAATCTGTCATCTCAGGATTCGTGAAAAACGAAACAAAAAAACTGCAACTGAAGAGAATATTTTAAAGAATGGAGGAAGCTGTATGCGTTTGGCAAACATGGAGCATGTTGCGTCATACTATTTGAAAATTAATTTTTCTGAATCATCGGTAATGAGTCGGTTTTTTGAATGGTGGTACAACCAAAGTGTTAGAAACCCCTTGACTGATGGAGTTGCAATGAAAAAGCGTCACACCTGTGCTGACATGGTCACAGTCACACCGAGGTGAGCGTTCAGGAAAACACGCTCGGTCAACGTGAAGTATTGCTGTCTTAATGACTCACCTCTTTGTAGATTTAGTTTGAACCACCCTGCATAAGAGTACGTAGATTGTTATCGCCTCAACAAAGTGCTCTTCATAATTATATATATACAGTGTATTTTTCACGCTGGATTAACCTGCAGCAGGAATGTGCTATTGGTAAAGAGTGCACCTGACAGAAACTTGGCCATGAACTCGGTGTTCATTGCAAAATAAATGCCAGCTTCTCAGAACCTGGTTACACCCGAAAGGGAACGCCAGGTTATTCCCTTTGTTCACGCCAGTTGGTGTGAAGCAGGCCGTGTACGGCCCTTTAATGGAGTCCTACTGTTACTCCAGCTGGAGACTGGATTCTATCTAAACTATTCACTTCTTCACTGTGAACCTGGCAGACCTCACTCACCAGACTCCTGCATGAGGAGGGCCGAGTTGAAGAGGGCCAGCTTGTGGCGTGGGTTGAGCTCCAGGGCGTGGTTGAAGTTCTTCAGGGCCTCCGACGGGTCCTTCATCTCGATGTTGACGATGGCCAGGTTGTACCACAGGTCAGCGTTGGTGCGGTCCAGCTCCAGGGCTCGGAGGTAGGCGTCGCGGGCTTCTGTGAGCTTGTTCATCTTCAGAAGCAGCTCCCCTCTGAAACAAATCAAATTCAAGAGGGGTAATTATATATTTGAAAAGATGGATAATTACATTACATTAAAACCTGTCACATATAGAACCCAATTTAATATGTAATCTAATATAGTTATAATGAATATAATTAACCCCTATTAATACATAATTGGTCTTGTCAGACAAGTAGTGCAAAGCAGCTTCTTTTCTCCATGCTTGTTTGCAGGTGAGGACTAGAGAGGAGAATCTAGAGACACTGAAGCATTTCAGACACTATTTCAGAGAAGAAAGGGCGGACGGGATCTGAAGAGGGTATTAAATTCAAATCCAAGAATGTGTGCGCTATTTCCAGGTTTGTGAACTAATCGGTTGGTATTTTGGAACCCTTTCCCTCCAAACTGGAAAGACGTTACTAAAGAGATCATGTGGATTGCTATGGATACAAATAAATCACTGCTGGTGAATTGCAGGTGGAGCTGTATGTCTTTTGGTTATTGTTGGAATTTAGATCTTATTCCAGAGAGCGGGACCGCTTGCTAATAAAACTGTACACAAGATGCCGAAATGATATTAATGCCGAACTGGAGCTGACTTTGAGTTGTGACGAGCACTGCAACAGCTGCACCTTCACTCCTGGAGTTAATCAAACAAAGATCACTCAAGGAGAACTTGAAGAAACAAATCCAACTGCACTTTACACCTTCCCTGATTTAGAGTGCAGCTACCACAAACGGCTATCAATGAAATGTTCATGCAGGCTGTTGGTACAGTGGGCGAGGTCAAACCAAACAGACGAGAAAGGGCGAGTCCGAGTAGCAGTGCATGTTCACTTTAGTGGAAAGATGAAAGGCAACAACAATAAATCTGTCCCGCTCCACAGAAGTACATGCGTCACATTTGTGGATAGTGTTCCCCTGGTTGTGTGGAGAGAATAAAGGTTGATAAGTCATGCTCAGAGATTGATATCGTACGGGTGCAGAGTTAAGAATCTTGCCTGCTGATGTAGGCTTGTTTGAAGTCGGGTCTCATGCTGATTGCTTGTCGGTAGAGCTGGTCAGCCTCCTCCAGCCTCGACTCGTTGGCCCGGATCAGGTTGGCCAGATTAATGTAGACGTTGAGATGGTTCGGGGCCACGCGCGTCGCATACTTCTTCCCAGGGATAACCTGATGAGCGACCAACAGAGAAGTCATTGACGTGATGATAATCTGTCTAATCCTAGTGTTACGAAATAAACACGTTTTAATGAGCCGTGTTTGTAGATTGTACTGGAGACTGTAACTGTAAGTGAGTATCACTGCTCCCGTTCTAGAGGCGGTTTCGTTGGTGTTGAAATGAATAGTTGAAAAATAAGAACTGTTAACTCTAAACTAAACGTAGTCCGTTGGGTGACACAAACCAGGAGGGAGCTGCTTGTTAGATTAAAATAATAATAAATTAATAGTTTCTTCTAGAGAAAGACACACCAGCATATCATGAAGTTACATCACACATGTTGCAAATTGTACAAGCGAAAGCATAATCGATGTTGGCTGCATCATATATATAGTTTAATACTGGATATGTGTTTTGCTCAAAAGCCTTTAGCCTATGAATGGAGAGGATCCAGGAGGTGTGGCTTAGTGGCTCCAAACACTCGTGCACTGCATGTGACCTGATGGGATACCTGTGGCATCAGGGACTTGGCAACCAAGTATGCATCTTCTGCCTCTCTGGACTTGTTCAAGTTCTTGTAGGTTCTTCCAACATTCATGTGAGCTCCAATGTCATCTGTGGAAACATTGTATCGTGTAGAAGGAAGAAATCAATTACAGGCTGAAACATACACTCGTCTGTGTTCTTCTTAAATCCATTTAATCCTCCCCCGACCCTGTGTGTTTCTCCCGCTTGGCTTTAACATTCCACACATAAGCTAAACTAATGTTAAGTTTGTACATAATGACCAAAAAAAGCTACTTAAGCTAAATAAATCCTTCTGGAAACCAGTAGGGTCAGTCAGGAGTCAGGACAAGCAGAACTGATGCTGGATGATTAGCATAGCAGGAAATCCTCATCGGGTTAATGTGTTTACACCATTTATCTCGGGGAAACACTCTTGGGCGGTGAACCGGCAAAAGTGTTGATGTCTCAGCTGACGACGGGCTTCCTGCAAACAAAGCTACGAAGACAAACTGAGCCGCTGGTGGAAGCTTAACTTGCTGTAACTGTTTAGTATAGTTCTGTGAGGTGCATGTAGTCATGGATTCATCAAACAATAAACCCGCTGTTAAATATCGCGATACTACAACACCACGTCACAAACCTCAAACAACAAGTGCACTCTGCAGAACCAGAGGTTGTCTCCTAACTATCAGAACTGGAATGTATTTATTCATTGAAGAGCAGCAAAGAACGGCACTGAAGGCTTTTCTCGATGGAAAAGAGGTTTTATTTCTTCCCCCGACTCGTGTCGTACAGAGTTTGATGGACAGATGGTTCTTCCAATCAGCTGCCAAGTATGTTTTTAAGTACCTGCCCTTTTCAGTTTCCCAATTACAGGAGATTGGATAGATTAAGAAAAGATGGCGGTACCGACAGCAGCTCAGAGCGAGACTGTGCAGCTGGCGAGCGGTTGGTGACCTGCTTTTCAACTGTATTTGTTAACTGCATCCTTCTGCTTAGCGTTGGCTAAATCACAGGATCCGCAGTTTAGCTTTGACCGCTTGCTCCCACCAGCAGCAAAGTTAAAATGGCTCGCTCCCGTGGGATCGGCTTTTATAAAAACACTTTTAAAGTACCGGTACTACTAAATGGAGGTTTAGTACTGCTTTTTAGCTGTATGGCATCGCGATACCTTTCTGGTGTCGGTATAGGCTGCAACACAGAAGCTAGTAGTGATACTATGAACATGAATAAGTAAACAAAAGCCTTTGTTAGCCTGATTCAAGACTCACATTATAGAGTAAGATTCACAAGGGAGCCTTAACTAACAGAGGGGGGAAACTAAAATACTGCAACTTTGAGGTGATAGTACAGCGTGTATTTCCTTTACCACGTTGCATAACTTAAGTGTTTGACTGATGCAGCAGCCAATAGTAGCTCCTGCATTGGAGCTGCTTCTGTTATTTGATCGAGCCCTTGTACGATCAGCTGCTCTGCATGTATCTTACGAAGAACTGGAAGCACATCTTATCAAGAGATAGTAAAAATATGATCGTGTGACACAGGTGATAAATTACCAACATTATGAGCACACTGTGTATCCCCCACTGGAAACCAAACATTAAGAGACATTTCACAGTACCTCCCACAAGCCCCAGCAGATTGTTCTTCAGTGCATTTTATGATCACTTCATTCCTGAATGTCGAAAGTAATTACAAATGCCTGATCTCCGTTTCTTACCTGGCTGAACGCGAGTGGCCTGGAGAAAATACTGCAGCGCCTTTGCATAGTTGTTTTGGTTCTCCAGAGCATGGCCAACATTATTCCACAACTTAGCATTGTTCTTGTTGACCTGAATCGGCAGACAATTTAAGAAACATGACAATAAGCTTGTTTTGTTTTGTGAAAGACTGATCCATCACTATCCTAACACTTCTCTGTTACAGTTTGATCAGGCCTCTTAATCACAAGGTGAATCAAAGATTCGTTCTAATATGGAAAACAGTCAGTTGTCTTTCTAGCTTACCTTCAGCGCAGAGGTGAACAGAGAGTATTCTGACTCCCAGTCCCAATTCCTCTTGAAAGTCTTCACTGCATGCGTCGTTAACAGCACCCCAATGATCAACCAGGAAATCTTCTTCAAGGGTCTGCAAAGAGAAACGTGCAGAGTTTCAAGACTTCAAATTGCTAACATTTCAGTACACGGATGCACTGTGTTCTTTAAATCAATAGCTATGACTTTCTATAAACATAATAAGGGCTGCACCTTGTTTTGGTTTTCCACAGGTTATAGTTCTACAGTACAGTAACGTCATTTAGGACGAGCACTCACCCTTTATGCGAGACGATCTTGAATCCGTGTGCGACGAGAACACAGAAGCCCATACTGGGCACATAGAGGACCCTCTCCGCCACGACGAAGCCCACCGGGAAGAAGAGGTTAGACGCAGGAATAAAAGGCAGGACGATCAGAGACAGGGCCTGAAGGAGAGAGACAATGACTTCAGTCCATACCAGCCGCCTTATGTCAATGCACCTGGAACTACATAGTAAAGTTCACAGGTGTTGCTCAATCAAACATGCAGACTATAAAATGATTCCACTGTGGCTCAAACAATAAGTCAAATAATGGATTGGTTGATACACATATTAAATCGACTATTTTCTAACAAAAACTCTCGGCTCCCAGCTTCTCAAATGAGACCACTGGAGCTGGGTTTTTGGACTTTTATGATTTTGTTATGATTAAGATGTTTCCTTGGGCTCTGGGAAACCATAAGCATTTTAAAACATATTTAGACAAAAGGATTCATTTATTACATTAAACAATAATGAAAATAAGCATAAGATCCAGCCTCTAAAATACACCTACATGCAAAAGCAACTGATGTTTCTGTTGTTAAATCAGATATGATCGGGGTATAATCTATCCGTCTCAGCGTGTGTGCCAACAAGAGATCCGATTCTGGAGGTTGTTCATCCTCCTGCACAGGCTGGAGGCCGGTCCGTTTCTATAAATAGCATCAGTGCAATCAAAAGAAACAACAATCCATGTTTCATGCAGTGATCTGGATATTACATTGTGTCTTGTTGTGGGAGTTACATGGTTGATATATGGGATACTGGCAGGGGATGTGGTGAGAGCTGAAAATAATGACCTGTGTTCATATTACTTGTAATATATACTTAATATATAAATTAACAATAAGACAGAGTTGGTGCCGCGATGGCTGCTTAATGCTGCTCAACAGATGGGAACGCTCAGGAGCACAAGACTAATGTCCCCACAGGAATCAACTCTGTGACCCACCGGAGCTTTAACTTCTTTATTTTCTGCCCTTTGAACGAGACACTGAACCCATACTGGCGCTTCACAGCAGCCCACTGCTCCTAAATGCTTCGGGCAGTGGTCAGATTTCATGTATGTGCCTCTATTTATGACCATTAAATTAAGTTTATTCTTTTTATTCTTAATCCTACTGCGTGTGATTAAGATGTAGGGTAGAGACTTTCTCATTTGTGAAAGCTCGTAATGATGGCACATGCTTTTAGTCTTTGTTTTGTTGCTTTTTGAATGACAATGATTTCAGTATTTTTCATTTACCATAATTACAATATGTACTTGTGCATTACGTCGAGCATAATTAACATACAGAAAAGGACATTCATTGTTGCTGAGCTACTGCTAGAAATGATCACATATATACTACGAACATCAACAGTGTCTGACAAAACCAAGATGATTATTTTAAAGCATTTAAACTTATGTGTGTGTAGAGCTGAAGTTTAGAAAACAGGTACTGGACCGAAAAAGAAACGAGCACTACACAGACGCCAACGTGGGCCTCAAGAAATGACATTCTATCCCTTTTATATTGTTGAAAGACTACATTATTAAATGATTCATCAAGAAATAAGCAGCATATTAATTGCTAATGAAAATAATGTGTTGTAGCGCTCGTGCACAGCCAGCAGACTGAGACAGCTACAGCTGGCGGCCTTGCAATAAAACTAAGTAGGATGATGTGGTATGATATTGTTATGCAACATATTTCAAAGCAGAATCAACACGGCAGAAGTCATAATTCAGTGTGTTTGGTGTTGATTTGTGGTCCCCTTCTCCAAAGTGAAGCTAAGACCAACACTGTGAGGAAGTTCACTGACCTCCAAGTAAGAGAGCCACGGGCCTGTTGCACAACGGACGCCGATTTGTTTCCGTGTGCCACGAGGAACAACGCATACTCGCTAAAGTAGGACCTGCTTTTTTATCCCTCTTCATTTGTGCGGACAGATCCGGCCTGTGTTTATCATTACTTTCCTCAGTGTGCTAAACATAAAAACACTTTGTCTGTTAGTGATTCCACGATGTCATTTACCCGGTGTCGGCTATAAACACCAGACTGTGGAGAACAAAGATGAGACCAAACAACGGTACTAAAATGCAGACTTAAGTAATAAAATGCGTCTAGCATGTAACGGTCAATTATAGCATCGACTAAAATGTTCTCACCCAATACCCGATTAGGAAGACCGGAGTATAATTATGTGTAGTTTCTGTGAAACGGTGGATGTGGCTGGTGAGCCTGTAGTTTCTTCATGCTTCCCACTCTTCTCTGGAGATCATGTTCCAGCACTTTTTAAGTGATGACGAGCTGCTACGACAGACATACACTAATATGTTCCTCTCTGTGGAAGTCTGATTTCAAAGAGGCGCAGTCTATGGCTGTAACTCACCTATGACGTCATCTCTTGCATGCTTAGAAATTACTTTATCAAGTAGAGGCCGTCAGCTGTGTCTACCTGGTAGACTCTCGTCAGTGTTTCTGCCAATGTTTTGTAAGCCCGGCGTCCGCCGTGTGTGTGTTTGGTTTTGTGTCGCAGTGCCACTGTTGGGCGTGATGATCTCTCACCATGATGACAGTCCTGGCAGAGCTGTGTCTGTAGCGCAGGCTGTGGTAAGCTAGCAGGCCCAGGAACGTGTAGAACACCAGGGTGGCCAGGTTCCGGAGGTCTAGCAGGGACTCCACCAGAGGAATGGTGCCCATAGTCCAGTCACAGCAGAGCTCAGAGGGGTTGAGCAGAAGCCATGCGTTCACAGGGAGCAGGTAGTTGAAGGTCAGCTGTCTCGTGGGAGTGGGGCTGACGGCTGCCGGGTTATCAAATCTACAAGAGAGGACATGGAGAAGACAAGTTCATCCACCCAATAAAGCCGGAGAGGATAAGAGCATGTTTTATGTGGTGTACGAGGGGCCGTAAGCTGAGACTGCACAGAGTGATAAAGATAATTCATTCTACTGTAAACCAAATCTGCTGATTTTGGTTTTGAGCGGCACTATATCTTTGTAGATATACCTATATACACATACTGTACATCTGTATCTCCATGTCCATCTTTCCATAACCACATCTAATAAATCAGCAGGGCAACAAAGAAGAGGAACGGCAAAGAACACTGCATGTGATTTACAGTGGTCATGTATTTATGTTCACGTCCAGGGCAACAGATGGATGCATTTCACCGTTCTGTACTCCGTCATCATCACGCCCCAAAGCTCCCTGTGATCCCGACAATACCGGTTGAGAGATGAAATCTCACTCTTTTGCCTTTTTAATAACCCTCCAGCCTGGATCGACGGCTAATCCAGTCCAGTTCTCCTCTTTAGTGATGCCAAAGGAACGGCAATAACTTTCTACACATCACATTTTCCTATTGAAAAGTGTGATGTGTAGAAAGTTAGATTTTTAATAAAGGAAGGTTCACAGAATGTCTAGAATGTGCATGTGATCCCAATACTGGCAAGGCAAAAATAATGATATATACAAATATGTGACCCATCTGGTGAAGGCTCTGACGAGGAAAGCATTTGATATAAGAGAGACGGATTCTCCTGCAGTCACAATAAACCAGGAGACATCCCCAGATCCTTAACTGGTCGATCCGTCCCCTCCAGCCCGTCTCTGTATCTGAACTGCTCTGGTAAAGCAGGTGGTCCCACTTCTTTAGCAAATAATCCCAGCCGGGATGGTGGTAATCTAAATATGCAGCATTGTTGTGACTTGAACATAGAAATTCTTTCAGACAATCCGGAGACATCCCGAGGATAACGGCTAGGGGATTAGCACATATCGGCTAATTGTCTGGAATTTTATCTTTGCAATCAAAGTGGAACCCTGTACAGACTATTTCAAAATAGTTTAGACTTAATCCAATGAACCTCTTGACATCTGCCCCCCCCACACAGCGTTCTCACAGGTCACATGGTTTATTAAAAGTGAGATGCATCTATTGTTTGATCCTCAATGTGAACATTCTGATGTTGCAGCAGAGGACAGAAATTAATGAGAATAGAAAGATACAGAAGTAAATAATAGGAGGAACATTAACTAGAATAAATAGAAACTATAGAAGAGTATTTGGAGACAAAGGACATGGTAAAGTGACCGTGGACACCAGTAATGTGATGTGATTATATATTGGTAATCATTGTTGTCCAATATAATAGACTACACTGCAAGAGTCAATGTAACATATCAACATAATACATCATCGCATGGTACATTAGGGTGTTTTAAGGGAGAAGTCACAGATTTCCAGCCTCAGATATCGTGTAAAGACGCCTGCAGCAGCTGTTCCGAGTCTGCCACACCTGTAAATAACATCCATCGGGTGTCAGGAGCCGTGAGAAGATTCTCTACTTTGATCAAATAAAATAAGGCATTATGTAAACTATTACATAATCAGAAATGAAGAACCTAGTAGTTCTAGTATAATGTGTTTATATAATCCTGAAGCCATTTGCATTCAAATCACGACTCCGACTGTATTCACTGAGACACAGCAGCTGCAGAGGAAGACTTCTTTTTTTTTTTTTTAACTGGCCAAAGCGTTTTAACTACAACGCACTAAAAACAAATTGAAATGCCCTAATAAAAATAATCACATCTTGCTCTTTGACGCATTAAACACTGTGACATGTAGGCTTTAACTTTATTTGATTTGTAAATTCAATAAAAGCCAATGCAGTCGGGGAGAAAAAGCTTTAGAGGGTTGTTAGACTGAAATGCAGCTTCAGCATTTTGTTGCTGCTGATGAGAGAATGCCGTTTACCGGGTGAAGACGGGAAGCTGGGACTGGATGACTTGGACCCTGACGATGACGAGCAGCAGGGTGCTGATGACGAGGACGATGAGCTTCAGCAGAGTTTGCAGGACAGCGTAAGGGAAGCCGTCTTTACCCTGCAACACTCGCCGCAGGGTGTCCAACAGCATGGGCAAGGTGAACTGAGAGGATAGCAACAGGAAGGAAGGGTCAACTCAACCATTTTTATTCATACTTCAAATGACATTCCCCAAAAACCTGCCAGCGGTTTGAACTGCAAACCTATTTATCAAAGGCAGAAACTGGAACAAACTGAACTTGTCGTCACGGTTCTTGAACGAGTCATTTGTGATGAATGCTTGTCAGAAAAAAACAACCAAATCTCAGTTTAAATGAGTTCTATTCAAGCCAAACCCCCCTAATGCTACATCATTTAAACTCCCGCTCAGAATAACCAGGTCCTGTACAAATGATTGCATACGGTGCTCCTCATTGAGTTAATGACTTGGCTGAGACTAATCTGTAGGAACAGATTCTGCATTCATCGGCAACGAGACAAGATCTGCTATCAGAAGAGTTCCGGTTTCTGTTTGTAGTCGGAGTGTTTTAGATCAATCACGTTTGGAGCAGGGTTTGGTTGAATGCGAGTCTGTGTGGAGAGCAAAAGAGGCGGAACGCATTGGCTGAAATGCAATCTCGGAAGTCACCGGCTATCGTCGGCTAACGCTGATTTCTTTAGCTTTTAATATATTCAGAAGTTCCGTATGAGTTTGTCCCAACACAATGCTATGGCTGGCTAGGACTTGTATGTTGTAGTGAAAGATGAGGCCATAGTGAGTAAAAAGCGCCCTGAAACTGCTTGGGGTTAAGGTTAGTGCTCGATATGTTCAGTATGTATCCGTCTGATATACTACCTAATCGAACCTTAACCTCGGGCAGATGGCAACTGCTTGTTAACGCAAACTTTAAATTCAGGCTTAAAAATAACTCTAGAGTAAAAAGCCAGCCGTGCTTTGATGTCACAGGTGTGACCAAGTTTCGGAGGCGGAGCCTTACCCCTTGTGCAACGAACACTTCGTGGACACAGCAGATGCCGATGACGGTGATTCCCTGCTCCTTACACAGTGTTGCTGCCGCCACTAGCACCACTGTCAGAGCGATGGGGGCCCACACTGGAAGAAAAGAGAGAATATACACAAATAACAGACAGCTGTGCACAACCTTTTATACACAAAGAGGGGAAAGTCTTGGTACAGACTTCTTTGAAGACGATCCATATGTCCAGTCAGGAAATATCAGTCATGCATTTGGATTTATTTGGCCATCAATCACTGATAAAATACCACAGTAACTTTTCTGGGCCAATGAGAAAAAAGCCAGAGGCTGGGCATTAACTCCTGTTTGCTCTTGTCAGTAGGGTGGATGCTGTCAATCATTACAGGGAAATGAAAGTCACATGTATATGGATGTATTTAGCATTATCACACCGTATGTGTTGAAGTGAAACATCACACTTTATCCTGGGAACACCGGTACTTCCCCTAAACCCACAGCGATATTTACGCCATGTTGTCCAATTAAGGGCAACATCGTGGACTTTGAAATATTTGACTTTGTAACTTAATGAGAACTTCCTGAATGGACCGTGAGTTTTAGTCTCAGTGAGGCTGATTAAGGAAGGAAGAGCATTTTGTGCCGTTCCAGCCTCTGAGTTGGGACACAGCTCCACAGAGCTGCCAGGACTCGGAGGACACGGAGCGAACCGACTCAACGACCTGCACAAACACAAGCCACGCCAAAGAATAAACAAATTGGCCCAGAGCCTCTGAAGTCCGACATTATTCCACTGAGCCAGGTATTTGATCCTAACCCAACCCTGCCTGTCACCACAAACCTCCTTATTGACACAAACATGTGACTGTTGACTCTTACTGCTGATGAATGAATGAATGAGGATGACTGCCGCATTGCCATCGGCCTTTCAGGTCACATTGAATCACTTTTGTCACAGTTGATGTGTGAATTTGGGGTTTCGGTGTCCTGCGTCTGTTCAGTGTTTGCAATAATGTCTTAACTTACATGACAGGAACCCAGCACATCTTGTACATGCAACATAATTCAGTGAGAGACTGGTGAAGCACACGAGACTTACCGATAGAGTGGTTCGCACTTGTTGATTTAGTGTAGGACAGGAAAGCAGCCAGGAGAAAGATTGAAGAAAGAAGTTCAGCTCTGCCGACCACACCTGTGACCTGACGATAAAACAATATATAGTAGAGTCATTACTGCTGCCAAGCCACACTGATTTGTTCATTTAAAGTCGTATTGAAGTGCAGATGAATTTATTTTAAAGTCTGCAAAAAAGGGTGCATGTTCAGTCATATAGATTGAAAATACCACGCTGCTACTTATTATAATAGAGCTACTGTAGAGTCCATCTTACATTTTGGTATTACCAGCTGGTTTGGAAACCTGAAGGTCAAGGTCCAGGTTAAATATTCAGTCTACTTACAACGACAGGGAGGATTATGGGAGCCCCCCCTCCCCCAAAGACATTTTAGCGCAGGCAGGGGCCACTCAGCTGCAGGCTTTTACCGGTCATGGGTTTCCTTGCATGTTAAACGAGATGCGTCTGTAATTTACGTACTACTGTCTGTATGTTTTCAGAATGTTTGTGGTTCTCAACGGAGTGAAGGGCTTTGTGTTTTTATCTCAATGTTTTACACGTGTTTATCGTGATGTCTGTCTCAGATTTAGGGAAATTGTTTCATCCGAACTAATTTCCTCCTCTTGGGAGACAATAAAGGACCAATAACCTTATTCTGCCACAAGCTCTCAGGTGTCAAAAGTGTCAGCGCTTCCCAGCAGCATATGACACAACCACCACAGATAAATCCTCCAATACACCTCAGGACAGAGGATAACTTTCTGTTCTAATCTCTTAGAGAACATTGCACGCGTCTACAATTGGCAGTAACCAGAGTCCACATGTTAAAGCCCTCGAATCCAGTTGTGAAAACAGGTCTAGTTTTGTAAATCTCCTCAGCGGGCGACGAGCATATACGTCTCCGTAAAGCAGCCTCTCTGACATCAACACCTGTCACTTGTGTATATGATGACTGCCCTCGTGTGGAAGAAATGACATTCTCACTTCCACCATGACCAAAAGCTCATGGCTTCTTGGAAATAGACGCATCAAAAACCACACATGCGTCTATGTAGTAAGATAGGAGATATGTACAAACGAGGCTTATGCATTGTTCTCAGAACCGGCTGCCCGTTTAGCTGAAACCAACAACTGGTATGCATCGCTGTGAATTGTGTGGCCTTAGAATAAAACAATGGAAAAGAAACACTGCACAAGTACCTACCTGCACTTCCTTTATCAGGCAGCCACGCTACTGCGTTACCTCATTTGATAAGGTGGCCAAATACACGGCCCAGGGTACCATAAAACATTCACTGTCTTAGTTTGAATACACTGGTTGCGTTTACACATGTAAAAAGTGCTGAATTGTCTAAATAAGTACAGAGCTCCTTTTATGCTATAATTTTGTCGTAGTGGCCCTCATAACTTAATACTCTGATTCGCTCACATAATATAAAAAAAGGAAAACCACAGTTTTGGTTTGGTCATTTTCTGTGTTGGGGTGCAGCTTTTCAAAGAGTGTTTTCCCAGCGCAGCCATTTTAGAGCCTTGATATACTGTGGAGCACACTAAATGATTTGTGTTGGAAAATTCTTGGAAATACTTCAGAAAACAAACAAACTATAGTCTCCATTCAAAAAGCCAGATAACCAAAAAAGCCACTGAGAAAGACATGGGGGCACACAGGGAGTCTTTGTACGCACTTATCATGAAGGGACCTTCAGTGCTCGGAGCACAACTCAAAAACAAATGATCCGTTCAGAGAGAGATTCCAGACGGCGATAACATGAAGGACGTTTGCTGGACTAACTCTAAAGGCTCATTTGTGAGGCAAATTGTTTCCATTCAAGAAGTCTGAGAGACTCTGCGTAGATTAGAGGACAGCATGAGGACGGTTGGCTCAGTGGTGCATGCTGTGTAACAGTAGCACTCCACCCCGACAAGCAGAATGTTTGCTCTGTTTTTCCTCCTCTGGTCGGGCCTGTCTGGTCATCAGGTCAGCTGTGTTGAATAGGGTGAATTACACGCCCTAATTGGGGAAGAGGCTTTTTTAGACAGGCCCTTAAGAAGAGAACAAGATCAAGTTCAAATGATAAACAATAAGAAAAAGGTTTTTGGTTTCCGATGGCGTTCAATAAACTTGATGGTCACGATAAACGGCTGTAACAAGCAACTTTCAATTCCAAAGAGAATCTTAAAGTAAAAAAAAACGAACTCATTTAATTAATTTTTTTTCACCTACTGTTCACGGTCGCAATTTTTTTTGTTTTTTTATGTTATAAAAACATTGTGATTTTAAATTTGGCTTCTTTGTGGATGAAAGAAACATCTTTAGTATCCATCCTGCGGAGAACACTACACACACGCACACACACACAGCTAATAAATGCGGCCACCTGTTCAGAAGCGGTAGCACTGATGCAGTGTCACAGAAGCCCCGCCCACACTGCTGGGCATGTTGGAGCAATACTGAGGTGGTGAGGTCATAAGAGTTGTCAGCAGCAGACAAATTATTTTCTAATCCGTGTGTGCCTGTGTGAATAGAGGATTGCTTTGCAATGTTACCTGGTTTGAAACATACCAAGAATGTTTTGTTAAGCTCAATTTATGCTCAGATTGAAGGTTAAAGTCAAACAGAGGAATGGTGCACAGGTTTGTGTGGACGATGGCACTGCTGCACTCAATGTACTTAGAACTTGGGCCACATCCCAAGTCTCTTAATTAAATAAGAGACTTGGGATGTACCCCAGGTCTCTCCAGTTTGGTGGACACCTGGGGGAGGAGCCTCACTTTGGCTTAAGGATAAGTGCTTGGTATTTCCTGCCGAAGTCATATGCTACTTCCTAGAAAACAGTGTGTCCTGATGACCCCGTGCTGCACTGGAGGTAAGCCGAAGAGTCCAACCAATAAACATCATTCATTTAAAACCATAACTAATAACCAATTACTCCATACTTTAAATCGCTGGTTGTTTTAACAGGAAATGCAACCCTTTAAAGAAGTGATTATACAAGTTCAGAAGACCATTTTAAATAAGCAAAGAAACCTCTTCAAACGTCCAACAAAAATAAACCAGTGGATCAGTTCAACACGGCAATTGTGACTGTCGTTTCAGTTTGTAATCGTATGTATGAACACTGCCGCTCAAACTTTTGGGATCGCCTGCACAAAGCTTGATTTACTGAGACTACTCTTCATTTTTTGGAATCGTCTTTCCTGCTTTTGGATGGTTGAAAGTCCTCTTTACAAATAGATGTTATTTTGTATGAAGGGTTTGCAAAAAAATATATTGTTTTGTGCAAGGAGAACAAAACACTGTCCAATGGTTCAACCAGACTGACAATTGAAAGGGCAGAAAGAGACGAGGATCCACTTGAACAACAGCTGAATAAGAATAGAAGAAATCACCAGTCATTGGTAGAACAATCTGGGAATTTAGCATCAAAATGTGTGTAGATTTAAATAGGAACAAGTTACAGTTTTACTGTCAAGTGCACAATACTTATTACAAGCTGGAATATGAACAGGTGTGTTGCTTAAACAAAGCTATTCTTAAAACGTCACAAAAGAATGGAAGAACGGATACCTCAAACAGCAATGATCGAGGGTCACTTGTGCTTTTCTGTACTGGAAAACTAATTTCAAACCAACGGGTATTTGGTGGGGGGGGGGGGGTGGTTACACAGTATTCTCCCCCTACATGTAACATTGTGGGGACATCCACTAAAAGTTGTAATCATTTAAATCTTCTTTTGGGGCCAAAACTATTTCAAATGTAAATAGTACTTTTAGTATCTGAATTATACTCTTAACTTTGTTTAAATTATTGAAAGAAAGAAAGAGAAGAAAAACAACAATAGAACAGGTAAAACTATGAACGGCAGCTTTGAGTTATTTTCTGCCATAACATTACATACATACAGTGCCGGACCCAGTGAATGTATACTTACAGCTTCAGTGTGGATGGGGTGCACGGCAAACAGCAACGCTGCCACCAGGCTGGACGTCTTGTCCAGGAACAATCGGCACACTCGCAGGAAAAGCACACACACCACTGCGTGTAGAATGACGTTCAGCAGATGGTAGAAAGCTGCCACCAGCTCACTGAAGAGGTAGTTCAGTCGGAAGGTGAGTACAGTCAAGGGTCGGTAAGACTTGTGGCTCCTCTCCTGTAGTTGAACATGTACAATTTATCAGTTGACGGACCGAGAAACATTAAAAGGCAGACCGATGTTTAGTGAAGCTTTTGAGTGATTCTACAAATTCACCTTTAAGATCAACTGGACATATTTTTGAGCTGTAAATTAATGATATGACTATAATATTGATACTTCTTTTAAACCAACGCATCTTCGTGGAAGCGTAGCACCCACCCTCCGGTTCCCCCTCACTGTTAGCACTGTTGCAATAATTTGTACCGTTACTGATCAACGTTCCCTACGAGTTGCCGGCTTAGGTGTCCCCATTTTGAGAGCCTTTGAGAGGCAATCAAAATGCTCACACTCTTAGCCATTTTAAAGTCAAGTTAATAGGAGGTTGCAAATGAAGTTGAACTGGACTTTAGTGACCTAAATAAAACTGCTAATAAAACAACCCCTTAAACTCAGCTAAATGTAAATGCTTGATACATGCCACAGCTTTCATCAATGAAGTGTAAACTAAAAGTAAGCCCATATGGATGAACCCCAGAGGTGTGTCATGGACCATGATCTACCTCAGCCATGGGTGTTCCCCAGAAGTCATTGAGGAACAGGTTGCGGACAGGGGTCGAGGGCCGTAGGTCCTTGTTGTCGAGGATCGCTGAGACGTCATCAAACACAAAGCCACACGACAGACTGTTCCAGTAACACCCAACCACCAGTCCAGTCAAAAGTAAAATCTCCTTCCATGACACGACAGCCATGGTTGACCAAAGCCGTCATTGATCACTGTGCAGGAAAAACAAAGAGGTTTGACAAACATTGATTGGACTTTTCTTTTCAAAGCAATCATTAAATCATACTGACAATGCAGCTTTTCATAGGACTTGGTAGGGCAAGATTACGAAACCTCATATAGTAAGTATGTTACAGCGAGTAATGACCATGTTTTTTACTCTTATGTAGCATCCTTGTCACAATACTTACTCCCCGTTATGGTGGCTTAAATATGTGGTGGTCCTACTCCCTCACTTTTAGCACCCTTATAATCTGCCACCCTGTTTAATAGTGTTTTGTTTCATTCTAGTCTCAAATTGTGGAGAATAATCTGTCAGATAAATTACCCGACAAGTAAAACTACAGATGGGGATCTTAGCCCACATGCTGAAAACTCAAACAGTCTAGCAACCGGTAACTTCATAATAACAGCTGGGTGCAAAAGAGCACAAGCAGTGGAGGATGGACCGTAACAGCCACCTAGAACATTTGCAAGTTGTCACGATCCTCTTTAAATAGCTATCTAAGGGCAGGCATTGGTCAAACAAATGAAATACACATTGCTATCGCTCGATCACGGCAATATAAGAGTACAAAGCCCCAAATACCATTCTCTTGCAATTTCAGTCTGGCTGCTGAAACATAACATTAGATATAGCGAAAAAGCACCTAGCTAATGCTAACTAGGTTGATAGCAGTCTCAGAGACGGATAACGTTGGCCGCAGATGTGTTGTATGTCTTTTTTTAATTAAATGTCCTACCTACCGTGTCTATAAAAAGGGAAAACCGGTGACTGCAGAGGTGGTATCAGCCACTGTTGAATGATTAACAGTAAACAATTCAGATAGCGACATTCCACTTGGGAGAGCTAACGTTAGCCCAAACGAGTCATCACTATCACTTCCGGGTTATAACTATCACTTCCGGGTCAGAGGTGACCGCGCAAGTTAAAAACGTTATTAGCCAAGACGGACTCGGTGCGTTTCGATAAAACGCAATACAAAGTTGTTAAAGTACGACTTACAAATGCCGTGTTGTAACGTTGTATCCGTCGTAGCTGTAGAGTTTGGTTAATATCCCTGAAAAGGCTCCACTCATCGTTTTTTACTAGCTTTATTATTCCTTGTGCACTAGCTTAATTAACTTGCTAGTTAGCATACCAAGTCACTGCTGGTGTTGTCAACGGTAACCTAGCAGCCGAAGCGTCACATCATGGAAACCTCAGGATCACTTGAAATGTTAGCCTGTATTTTCAATCAGGGACATGTTAAATGATGTTAGATAACTAACGTTACACACTTTTGGTTTAAGCATTTAACTACCATACATCACAACGTCTAGCTAGCTAATTCATGAACACGAGTTTCTTGTAACGTTAGCAGTTTGTGGACAAACATTAGATTAAAACGCTCCCTTAACATCGTCACAAATGTAACTTCCGCTAGTGAACTAACTATCTAAACTTATTTAAGTGAGAAACAATAAGGCTTATGTTGAGGACCACAGCAATGTTTAGCCACAGCTTCCTAACTACAATGAGATAACTAGCTAACGTTAGTTTTCACTTATTAGTTTAGCTAACATTAGCTAGTCGTCTGCTAATTCCCTGCTTGGATCTTTACAAACGCGCTATGGCCAAGATGCCTGCTGCTCTTCAGTGGGACAAAGTGACAAGGATCGACCCAGCCAGCCTCCTTGATTTTGAAAAAAACCAATTGGATGAGGTCATCGACATGCTTGTTTTGGTAATTTTCAATGCTTAACGCCAATATGAATTACATCTCTAATACTGATTACAATTCTGTTGTTCAGGTGCCCAACCACCAAATGCTTCTCTGGTTTCAAATGAACGTTATAAGTTGAGTAATGTCACAGTGATGATGTTGAGCCTTGACTACTTGCATAAAGAAAGACTCCTGATCTGCTGATCTGAGATTATTGTTCATGGTATCACAGCTCCTTGCTCTGTGGCTTTGTCAGCAAAATGCACTTAACGGATTGATTTTGCTTTGACTTGACTGCCCCCTCTTTCTGTGGTCAGTGTTAACCTGGCTATCTCGCATAGCAGTGTTACGTCTTCTAACCTGGCTATCTCGCATAGCAGGGTTACATCTAACCTGGCTATCTCGCATAGCAGGGTTACATCTAACCTGGCTATCTCGCATAGCAGGGTTACATCTGCATAACCCACCCCGAATTTAATGCAAAACTAAAGTGAGTGCTGTCATCTGGGCTTTAGTCAGTCCAAAGGAAAAGCTTTAATTGTGTGTAGCTGTCATGTATATTTATGCCTTTAAAAAATATAATTTAGTTCCACCTCTGTCACTGCTTTGCTCCAGGTTTTTGTGCTGTTTCGTAATGTTATTATGAGTTGAAATGACTGCATTTTACTGTTTTTCACTTCAAACCATGAAGACAACAGAATGGGAGGTGAAGGATAAAGCTCCAGAGAAGATTATTCAAGTCCTCAGATTGTTTCAGACCATGTTGAAGGTATTCAGTATTATTTTTGCTATATTCTGATATCTCCCACACACACCTAACAACAACCCCACTAGTATAATGTATTTCAATAAGAAATAATATTTACTTTATATTTACTAACTTTAGTTGTTATTATTGTTTTGTTTATTGATCTATTTTGTGAGCATATGCTGCTTGATATATTGCAATTAAAACAATTTAGGTCATTTCAGACGTAATTGTCTTCTCTTTTTCTGCCCGTTAGATCAAAGACAGAGAAGCTGCTTTTGGCTCTGACCTTCTTGATCAAGCTGGAGAAAAACATGGTAAAATTGGTAAGTGCAAAGATTAAGTTCAAATGTTTCATATGTTAAAGTTTTGCTGTCAAACAGCAGGGTTTACATTGTTGCTCATGTCATCTGCACTGTAGAAAATGAACTCCTCGCCAAGGTGTCGAGGCTGGAACAAGACCTCAAGGTAATGCTGCTCAGCTTCTCTCTCTCTGTATTCGTCTGTACGTCTGCATACCTTCATAGGGTTAATCATTCTCTTTTATCACTGATGACTGTCAGTACAAAAAATGACAAAACGCATTATGTGTCTAAGTGGAAATCTGGTGTTTTACTTCCGGCAACTGTGCCAAATCTTTTAGCCAATCACAGAGTGTGACCCTGGCTACAAAGGGATTGGTTGTGGTGGCCACTGAATGACAGCGCCTAAGAAGATTACAGCTAATTCCTTGCATGCACACAGCCCATTATATCTAGGTTCAACTTGATTATTATGCCATTTTTTTAGGTTTGTATGTAATGAGACTTGGCACTCCAACAGTTTAGCATGCTAAGATAAATGTAATCCTTGTTTTAGGACTTGGTAAGGACAGCGTATGCATGTATTAGTGATGTGAACAGATGGCGGTGGCGATGGCAGACTAAGAGGTTTCATCGTGGGGGTTGTTTGGGTGTTTGTTTGTCTTGTTTCCGGTCCAACCGACTCAGCAGTCCAGCAAAGGGCCAGACACCCGTTTTCTGAGGGATGAGATTCGGCAGCTCGAGGCCCAGCTGGAGCAGAGGGAGAAAGAGTTGACCCAGTTAAAGAAAGAAATGGGCAAGGAAAAGCAAACCATCGAGGAGGTATGAGCACGTTACCCATAATTCCCACACATAGCACAGGACCATGGATTCCTCCACATATTAGCTCAATAACCATTTGTCTAAGTAATGAGCTTGACGTAGCGTAACATCAGCTGTATGTCCCTTTGGAATGTTCATGCTATTTAGGACCATTATTTTTGGCCCCTGGTTTTATTCATGGAAAGAGATGGTGCATGTGTTATATATGAATATACTCATGTAATTAATAGTTTGTTGTAACAAATAATTAAAAACAAAAAATAACATTTAGTTAAATGTAGTGCAAGTGCATATTTTAATTTTTTGACTTCAAGTCACATTCCATTGATTAATACACAGGACAATAAACTAGAGCAAGGCAACTGTCATGTGCAACTGTAACATATGTCTGTTGTGCTTCTGGGGTGGTTGAATTCAAACTGCGTTTCTGTGTTTCTCTCCGTTTTGTTTTTCTAGTTGGTCGTCCGAGCGGAGGAGGTTGAGGATGTGGCCAAGAAGCTGAAAAGAGAGGTATGTGGCAGCTGGCGCTACATCATAAAGATCGTAGAGATTGATTCATCACTTCATCATCAGTCAATCCAACATATATCAATACTAAATTTTAAGCTTGTGTAGTCTCATGTGCTCTGCCATCATTTGCTCACATGGATGCTTTCCCACGTTTCATCATCTCTCTTCATCTCTTTCCATTCTCTCGGCAAAGATAACAAAGCTTAAAAAGAAGGTAAGAAATATAGCTTGTGACGCAAGAGTAGGTGTAAGCTCCTCAAAATCAGTCCGATAGTATTGTAGTTGTATAAAGGTACATGGAGTATATGGAGTATACATTTTAAATATCTCTTTCCAGGTGGTCACTTATTGCACATGTATTACTGCTGCAGAATTGTTATCATGCTATTTTGCCACAGCTTTTTATTGCACCCCACAAAAGGTAAGGTAGAGTGTAAGGTGTCCGGTAGGGACCTTGTTAGAGTTTATAGAGTGTTTGTATGTATATGATAACATACTGACCAGAGAGGATTCAAATACATCACCACTATACAGTGTACATACTTGCTAGACCTAGGTGCATGCATTAAGTGTACCGTATGTATGAAACACATACTGTAGTTTCCTGCTGTTCCAGCATAACGAGATATTTAATATGAGTATATTTGAAATGTAAATTCAATGACGTAAAAGGTTGTCATGCTAAGAAATAAGAAAAACGACATAAGTGAGTTATTCCACCGTCATGCTGCTGTGTAGCATGTGATGCTTGCTGATTAACCTGCCATAGAGACATTTTAGCAGCATTTGGACATTGATGGGTATTGACTTTCCTTAAATATTATTACGATATATCTATCCTGCGACTGTTTTCTTGATGAATAGAATAATTGTCCTGTAAAATGTCAGCCCGTCACAAGTTCCCAGAGCTCAAGGCGATGTCTTAAAAATGGCTTGTTCTGTCAGTCAACAGTAAAAAGCAATATATATATGTATATATACAATTATATATGTGTGTATATATATATATATGTGTGTATATATATGTATATATATATGTATATACGTATATATGTATATGTATATGTATGTATATATATATATGTGTATATACGTATGTATGTATGTATGTATGTATGTATATATATGTATATATGTATGTATGTATGTAT